TACTGTAACACTATTAAACGTATAACTAGTATATATCAGTGTACATAGCTTAGTCTTCCCTTATTGTTATTCCAATGTTCACTAACCATGAAGGCTCTACTATCAACTAAACCGAAATACTGTACTGTACATTCCAAACTTAAACTCTTATATAGGGTGATGTGTACAAATTCAGGTTTCAGCTAGGGACATCATTGTGATTGGCTAGGTAAGCGTATGCACGTCTGTAAAAACTTAGGAGTCATTTTTTCCGCCAAAATCTATTGCGGACGTAATATTTCCAAGTGTGCTGTGCAGCAAAGTAAATTTCAGCGGACTGATTTTGGCTTATGTTGACTTCATTTGGCAAGTAATTATGAGGCCAAAGTCAGTCCGCCGGACCGATTTTTACCCCGGACCAAATTTTTCCTGACACCTCCCACCCCGGAGTCTGCGGACACTTTTTGGGGGCCCGCCAAGTCAAGAGGGTCTGCAGTGTGTCCGCAAAAAATTTCCGCTAGATTTTTTCAAATTTCCATTAGTTTGCTTTTCTTAGAACAGTGTGATAAATATCTTATCACTAGGTACCTTATCAATAGTGAAATTATTCGTGAAATATTAACCATAAATCTAAATTTTACAAGATTTAAAATAAATAAGGATAAAAGAAAATTACATTAAAATTGTGGGTCTGACATTGCAATTTCGGCTATCTAGAAATGCCAGACATAAAGATTTTGTACGGCCACAAGCATGGTGGGGTTGGGGTGGTTTCTGTTTCCAATTCCAGGATCCTCCAGTGTTTAACATTGCACGTGGTGTATCATCTTCCATCTAAAATCTTATACTGTAGTTTGGATATGGACAATGAGTAACACTTAGACAGTAGGGTCCGTGAAGACACTTGAAATATTCCGAGGGGCAAAAACGTTGGTAACCATCGGATTAAAAGATAGGCCAATGCGCCACTGGCGGTGGGTAACATTCTCACGATTTTCCTTAAATCCGAGATGTGATTGGCATAGTTTGCTTGATGTAAAACTTAAACTTTAGTCTCACCATCTTAATGCCCTACTTTACTGAGCATGTTGAAAGAATATTCATGGCATCCCAGGGACCACTTGTATTAAACTGGTAGCCATAGATGTACATAGACCTAATCCTTTTAATTATAACCTCAATAATTATACCTTTTATCTAGATGTAATTTATCATTACATTATCTATGTCTTTACAGAGTGTCCAACGTCATATTGTGGTATACCATCATGTGGTCTACATTGTCCAATTTGCTACAATGGTGGAAAATGTGATGCTAGATCTTGCACCTGTATTTGTCCTAATGGGTTTGAAGGGGAGTTTTGTGCGGAAGGTAAAGTGGGGTACAATAATAAGCAATTAGTAGAGCTCCGCATAGTACACTATAGGAAAATAATTATACGAAGTTTAGATTTAATGCTTGAAAAAATTTTCTGCAAGGCCCGAAGGAAATTTTTGAATGCAGTAAATCCAACCTAAGTAATCTTTCGTAATAAAATAGAGAAAATGGAAAAATCAATTCCTCTACTAATTGCTTTATAAGTCAATCGCCGTCTTTTAATGTTAGTTTTTATAACCAACTGTGTTGTACCATGGAGGTAATAATACCGCCATGGTTGTACCAGTCATCGGTTGCAATAGTGATATGATACTGTGTACGTATTTATATTTTGTGCGTATGCTGATTTGTGCTCCTCCTGCAGTAACTACACATCAGCAGTACTGTACGGATACGTTTAATAACTAGGCCTAGTCTGTTTTGTAATTTGTATTGTGTTGGAACATGGTTGGAAGAACTTGTTTGTAATTTTTCACATTCAAAGAAATAAACATTTTTCAAAACATTTGAGAAAGAATACTGTCATTAACTTTTTGGTCGGAGCAGACAGGTAAAAATCTTGGGATGATTTCATAACTAAGCCTACGGCCTAGGCTAGTAGTAGGAGGAGGCCTCGGTGGCTCTATATCTAATTTTGTTCCTTGAGTCTTTAAAACAGATATAGTATATCACCTATTAAAAGTTTTTTTAGATTATTAGGGTTCATTAATTCAAGGAATTGCTAAATTGTTCATACTTAAGGGTGTGCGATGTTTTCGCGGTGATGAAAGAAAAAGATGAGGAATTTTTTTAGCTAGGCCTATTCTAATTGTTTATACATTAATGTTGTCAGGCAAAAGCGATCAATGCTTTGGCATTGAAGGATGCAACTTTTATATCAAATATATTGAAAAGAAGACGTTGTGTTACCCACCACCGATTGGCTGCAGTTGTCTATCAGGATTCACGGGCATTGAATGTGATGAAGGTAAGTAATAGATATTTTGGAGTGTTAATCAAACTCAACAATTGACCAATCAGAACAGTGTTTGGAGACGCACGTTTCTTGCAAACACATGTCCCATAAGCACACATGTTTTTTGGGACCTTAACAACAATATTCAAGGGGCGGGGCTTAGTGGAAAGGCCCATTATTCAATTTGTATCTATTTTTAAAATTACAGATATTTACACTATGTTTGATGCTAAGAAAATAACGAGATCAGCCTCCGAGTTCTCTAAAACTCTCGCCGTTCATCAACACATCGCTTTGTGTAGCATCAGTTTCAGGCATTACATCTGGGTTACTCACTTGTTATTGTACGTGTCATCGAAGGATATCCGA